CCGGGGTGAGGAGCTCTCGGCCGCTCTCCTCTCTGTCTTCGTGGACCGAGCCGCTGACCTGCCGGTGAGTGGGTGCCCCCCCCCCCGCCCCGGCCCCCCCCCCGGGACCCCAAAGTCCCCACGCCCCCCCGCACCCACCGGCCCAGGAAATCGTCCTTGTCCACGTCCTTGTCGAAGAGGTCGAACTCCACGTCCTGCCCTGGGATGTTGTCCACGATCACCTGGGCAGGGACAGGGGTCACCCGGGTCCCACCCAAGCCCCCCGGGCCTCAGTTCCCCCCCCCAGGACCCTCCCCTGCCCACGGGGGTGACGATGGGAACCCCGGTACCTCATAGACCTCGTTCCAACGGGGGTTCAGGTCCTCCTTGATCACTCGGCTCCGGAAGACCCTCCCGGCCACCCGGACCTTGGCGTAGGGGTCGGAGCGGCCCCGGACCACCCCCTTGAAGAAGTTGTCTTTGGCGATCAGGTTCTCGGCTTCCAGGAGGTGGATCCGCAGCACGTGCTGGACACGGGACCACCGGCCACTGGCAGGGGCTGCCAGCACCTCTGGCCCCCCCGGACCCCCCAGTCCCGACCCTGCTTCCCGCCCGGGACCCCTCCACGCTGCCCCCCAGGACCCCTCAACCCATCTCCCAGGACCACCCCCGGGCCCTGAGCCACATCCTGGTCCTCAGGACCCCCATCCTGCGCCCCAGGACCCCCCTCCTTCCCCCAGCACCCCCCGTCCCTGTTGTCCATCCTGCCCCCCTGGTGAATTCCCCCAGACCCTCCATCCCCTCCTCACCTCGGTGCCAAACCGGGGGTCCGGGCTGGCCTGGCTGGGCCGGGGGGGGCTCTCGGTGCTGGCCGGGGGCTGCGGCTGCCCCGGGGGGGCAGGGGGGGACACTCCACCCTCGGGGGCGTCCAGGAAAAGCACCTGCGGGTCTGGGGGTCAGCGGGGGGGTGGGCAGGGGCAGGGCCCCTCCCTCGGCCCCCCCGGCCCCCCCTCACCCGCAGGACCAGCTTCATGAACAGGCGGCTCCCGGGCCCCGAGCGCTGGAGCGGGAAGGGCTCGTCCAGAGTCAGCTCCGGAGCCTGGAGCAGGCGGGAGAGGGGCACGGACAGGGACCCCAGCGGGGTCTGCCGGGGGTCGTCCTTCACCTGCAGGCACAGGGGGGTCACTGGGGGGCGCAGGGAACGGGGGAATGGGAGGAAGTGGGAGGGAAGAGGGAAAAGAGGAGGGAAGGAGGGGGAAAAGGTGGGAGAAATAGGACGGGGAAAGGGGGGAAAAGGGAGGAAAAGGGGGGAAGGGGAGGTGGAGGATTTGGGGAGGAAAAAGGAACAGGGACTTGGGAGGATATGAGGGGACAAGAGGCTGGAGAACTGGGGCGCTCTCGGGGGATGTGGGGGGATGCAGGGCCAGGGGGATCTCGGGGGGTGGGGGGACACGGGGCTGGGGGTTGGGGGTCTCACCTGGATATCCACGTCCTGGTTCCTGGGGTCGTGCAGGAAGAAGCGGAAAGCGTCTTCCCAGACGGGGGCTGAGGTGTTACAGACCACCTGGGGGGCACAGGTCAGATCCCACTGCCCCCCAGACCCCTCCAGTCCCCCCGGGGGTGGGACCCCCCTCCCACCTTGCTCTCCCGTGTGACGTCCTGCACCGAGATCTGCACCACGGGGTTGGGCTCCTTCCCAGGCTTCTTCATCTGTGCACAAACAGGGGATTGGGGGGGGACCCACACCTCTGACCCCCCCAGGACAGGGGTCTGGCAGCCCTGGCCCCCCCCAGACCCCCACTCACAGGCAGCTCCTCGGCCCGGTCCAGGTACACGACCAGGATGGCGGCGGAAGGGGGGTCGGGTTTGGCCACGATCGTCCTGTTCCTCTCCAGAACCTGGGGGGATGTGCCAAAGGGGGGGGGGTCAGGCAGGGCAGGATCACCCCATTTCCCCTCCCCCAGGACAGCTGAGCCCCAGTGAACTCGTCCGTGGGCTGAGCCCCCTCACCTGGTCCAGCTGGGAGGCGTCGGACAGGAGGGAGAGCCACTCCAGGCGCAGGCGGAGCCGGCCCTGACCCCCCTCCTGCAGCGGGAACCACTGCGGGGAGGGGGGGTCAGCACGGTCCCCCAGCACCCCCCTCCTCCATCACCCTCCACCCAGCACCCCTCTC